TTGTATAATTTCACACTCATCATCAAACCGGTAATGTAATGAATTGCATCCAGTTCTCTATGGATAGTTTAATCCTACATTTACGTGAATTTGAATTATCTGCAAGTGGCGGTCGCAAAAGCTTTGGGAGAGGGCAGTGGGAACATAATCTATAAGAAAATTCTCTTGGGTGGTTTCGAATTGCGCCTTTTTTACAGTTACTGCAGACCTTTCCCAAAATCTAACCCTTTTGGAAGAAAGTTCGGATTATTAATGAAATTACACTCAATTTGGTTAATGTACTCTACTTTTTGAAATCTTCAAGTTTTTATGGAACTTCCCTTCTCCTCTCCCAATCCTTCTCCCACATGCTGCCTCCGCTGTTGTATTGTGTAGAAGCTCATGTGTACAGCTAAATCTTGAGTCGTTCTTTTGCATTTTATGAATCCTATCTCTCTCAGGACCGTTGTTCGATAACCTTCAAGAAGCAGCCACACAGCTGGCCTTGAGCAATGACCAATCATGCCAGAAACTCGCATTGGCCACACTTAGCCGAACATCAGCTGCGAATCCTCAATGGTGGCAAAGAACGTTAAGGACAGCGTTAGAGGTCCCATCGCTATCACACATAAGCTCGTCAGATGCTGGCAGCTCTGTGGTAAGTGACTTCATGCATTTTTTCGATGCGACTACTCACTTTTTGATAACTTCTCTTTTACCGTTATTGATTTTTAAAGGTGGTACATGAAGTGGCATCAACACTGCTGACTCTTCGCCAAGCTCATCCGGAACAGTTCTCGGTGGATGTACAATCCCTCATGCCCGGTGAATTAGGGTTAGAGTTGCTGTCCATTCTGGAAAATTACAAATCCCGAGCATTGGACAAGCAGCTGCTGAACATGTACGACAAGATCCGGGTAGCGCAACAGCAACAAGCGTAGCATAGGGTGAAAGGGTTTATGTACTAGTAATTGATACTGTTACTCCGTCTTTTATTCAAAATTACTGCTGATCTATTTCATGTGGCCTTAACTGGTACCCAGAGACTGAAAGTAAGCCTTAAAGAATTTTGCTGGGAGTACAGCTAGGATAAAGAAAGGTGCAGCAGGAGTGTAGAAAAATGCTTTA